ACAGAATGCAGAAAACAAAGCTGTTACATTTTGATCCATCCATAGGCTCTGGCTCTTGGCTCTGAAGATTTTTTAAAAATTGTCTTCATCCCTTAATATATATCTTCTGTTGCCAGCAATAATTCATAAATAACGTAGGAAGGATGATGTCAAAGATATGCTTTGAGGACTGCAGCTAAAGCAGTTCCACTGAGTCTCCTGGGAAGCTCTGCAAAGTTTTGGAAACTCACAAAAGTTAAGTTGTTTAACAAGCCCTCTTAGGCTTTGAGGTGCTGTGATCCAACAGTTGCTTCAGAAAGAGAAGAGAGAACTGACATCTATTACCCAGCAGAAGCAGGTCTTTTGTAAAGCAGGAACAGGTATTTTGTAAATCTATTGGCTCTTAATTAACCATTCCAGATCACACCACGACAAAAAAGTTTGGATACCAACAGGACTAGCTAACAACAGGATCTTGGTGGTGGAAAAATTCCTTCTCAGTAGTTCATCTCAGCTATTGCAAGGATCTGAGCTAAAAGCAAGCCTGAAGATGATGACAGATGATAATCTGGGTGCTCTGATCCAGTGACCCCTGACTCCATTATATCACTGGGGTTCTATGAAAAGTACAGCTGGGGTCAGGGCATTCAGCCATGCAACCCACATGGAGTGGCCATCATGTGCAAATAAACAGTGGGAGGGAGAGGGGTTCAAGCAGCTTTTATTTATTCATTACAGTGCTTTATATCTCACCTTTCAGGACAAAGATGTTTTCAAGTAGCTTATAAATCAATATACCAAAATATATTTTTGAAAAACCGTAACAAGCAGTCTCATAATAGAAGCCACCTAGATCCTCTCCACAGGACAATTGATAGTGGATGGTTATTTCTTGTAGCTGATATAGGAACAAAATCTGAGATCTCCTTTCTCTTCCCTCTCCCAGCAGGAGCACCGTGGCTCCCATTTCAATGGGATGGGGAACCCGCTCTGGGTTTTGAAAGGAACTGAACCTATTTGGGGGATAGGGTTCATCACTGCAGATAGTGCCTTTCAAGTCTGGAGTATAACAGACATGGATCCCCACTGGCTCCCATGGATTTCTTTCCTTGAAGGAAGTATTTGTAAAATCATTGTGGGAAGCACAGCTACCATTGGCCTGTAACGTATTTCATTCAAGGTGGTGCTAAGGGAAAGGTTAGTCCTGGAAAACTTGCTGACTCTTGGAAAGTCATTCCAAAAACACTGGAGCCAGCCTTTGAATTATTGCAAGGGCATTTAAAGGATATGTATAATTATGAATCAAGCTGTTAGGAGGGAAGGGGAAGGGGTGAACCAGCCTCTCACTCTGCCACCCTTCCATGCTCACGTCCCATTTGCTCCTTTCCCTCAGCAAACTGGTGACTGGCGCTATATAATGGAGTGAGCCACCTGTTTGGCAGGCATGTGGCAGCACTGAGCTAACATGCATGTTGACTAGATGGTACATGATGCGGCACTTTTTTTGCAGAGGTACTCCCCCTAGTGGTTGAAGACATCTGCTTATCATAGCATGTGATTTTCCCCACTTATGTCTAGCGTGTTTCACTGTGTATTTCAGCACTGGAAGGTAAATAGTCAACACTGGCTTTAAATGCAAATCTCATTGCCAAGGAAATCCTGTTGTGGGAGGGGAAAAGGTTCCGTTATAGGAAATATCCATTCCCCTTAATTTCATTCTAACCAGTGGGAGAATTGTGCAATATGCAATAGCCTGAGAAGCAGTGTTTTAGACTACGTGCCCCAGTCTTTTACTACATTGACCATGGTGTCTGGGGCTTCTGAGATTTGAAGCCCAACATATAAGGAAGCCCCAAGGTTCCCCATCCCTGGATGTCCCAAGATGCCACACACACGACTTTGGTCCCCCAATAGATAGGAAGCTGTTAAAGCCAAGTCACTGAGAGCAAGGCAAAGTGAAACCAACAATGTGAGAAAGGAAGCAAAGGTGAAAGGAGGTTTCTATGAAGCCCGCTCCCTACTTCCTCTCACTGTGTCCCTTATGGCACAGTAGTAGATGGCAGAATCACTCAGCATTGCTTTCTCTTTGATCAGGTTGGTCGAGCGTGACTTTGGATCCACTTCCATTTGGAACTCGCCAATTGGTGTCATGCCTTTGTAGCCAGACCCTAAAGTGGACAAAGCCCTCTGGTTCTCCAAGTCCTGCTTATACCAAGACATTGTGTCATGACTGGTGACATTCTGGTGACAGGAGATCTGGATATGCTTTCCTTCCATAACAGCAAGTTGCAAAGGCTGGAAAACTTGGGAAGTGATCCAACCCTGAGAAACTGTGGGAAAAGGGAAAGAGGAAGGGTGTTTGTGAATATGAGAAGCAGAGACATAATTTGCAAGGGTGGATCAAAATTCTATATTGGCTAAGGCTAGGCATGAAGCCTAGAGACCACTTTATACAGTTGGCCCTCCATATCCACAGATTCTGTATCCACGAACTCAACCATCTACTCTACAGCTTGAAAATATTTTCCCCAAAAATTCCAAAACGCAAAGATTGCTTTTATATAAGAGACATCATTTTACTATCCCATTGTAACAAAACCCCAGTAGATACCAAGGGCCCACTGTATTTCCCAAAATAAATAAAAACTGAGTAAATCATTCCTATATTGCTAAACAAAAAGGATATTTATGAGTTCCACGATGTGCCAGATGATGAAAAAAGATTGGCAGAGGTTGGAAGAGATACTGTTTGGGGGCTACAATTCCCATGATGCTGACAGAGGGATTCTGAGGGATTTAGTTCAAAACAGTCATTCTTCCAATCTCTAATAGTTGACCAAAGGCAAAGGGGTGGGCTATGGACTAGTAACTGGTAGCCAAAGGGGATGAACAGTGATCTTTCTCCCATTTCTAAACCCATCAAACAGGCAAAAGAAATATGTGAATATAAGAAGACCTCTGAACATAAGAAGTGGACATAAGAACATTTTTGTTCTTCACAGTGACTAGTCAGTGGTTTCTGGAAAGCCCACTGAGGATGTGTCCACACTGCAGCATTAAAACAGTTTGATACAACTTTAACTGTCATGACTCTAGCCTACAGCATCCTGGAATTTGTAGTTTGGGGAGGTATTCAGCCTGGTCTGTCATAGAGCTCTGGTGCCTCACCAAACTACAAATCTCAGGATACTATAGGATAGTGTCATAGCAGTTAAAGTAGTCTCAAACTGCTTTTATTTTACAGTGTAAATACACCCAAAGAAGACATCCCAAATGTAATCTTTCACGAGTCCTCTTAAATGATTGGGACTCAAAGGTAGACTGCTGTTGGACATGGTGCATGGAACATGTCGGTTATGTGAACCATCATGACTGGCATCCATTGAGAGACTAATTTTTTCTGCTAATTTCCAATGACATTTATTTTTGTTGTTGTTGTATGTGTTCAAGTAATTTCCAACTTATGGCAACCCTAAAGTGAACCTATCATGGAGTTTTCTTGGCAGGTTTCTTCAGAGGGGGTTTGCCATTGCCATCCTCTGAGGCTGAGAAAGTGTGACTTGCTCATGGTCACCCAGTGAGCTTCCATGGCCAAGCTGGGATTTAGACAAATCAAACCACTAGACCACACTGACGCCAATACTATTTATATCTCACCTTTATAAACTCAAGGAAGAATACATGGCTCTTCTCCCTACTTTAACCTCTCAACAGCCATATGGGGTAGGCAAAGCTGAAAGAGACTGGCCCAATGTCACTCATTGAATTTCATTGCTCAGGGGGGCACTAGAAACTAGACTGCCCAAATCCCATTCTAAAACACTAACCACATCTCTACCACTATGGCTATCTCATCCTCTGTGAATTTAGCTACCTTCCCCTCGGAAGCCATCTGGGTTAGTGATCACTATCACCCCATCTTGTGGCAGTAGTGTTCCTAAATGAATTATGCCTCGTATGAAAATGAAATTCCTTAGCTATATCCCTAATTTTCTGTAGGACAGTTGCATAGGATAACCACACAACCAGGCTGTTCTATTGCTCTGTAGGACAGACAGGTGACTGTTCCTTGCAAAATCTCTCCATAAAATGCATCACTTTATAAACTCTGTGCATCGCTCCCTTTATAACTAAAATCTCTTTCCAACGGGCACCTTCCTCCACTATTGGACTGGGAAGTTACATTTTCTTGGCTTTTTTTAAATGCTTTCTTTGTTGTTGTTGTGTACCTTCAAGTCATTTCCAACTCATGGCGACCCTAAGGCAAAACTATTATGGGGTTTTCTTGGCAAGTTTCTTCAGATGGGATTTGCCATTGCCATCCTCTGAGGCTGAGAGAGTGTCACTTGCCCAAGGTCACCCAGTGGGTTTCATAGCCAAACTGGGACTCAAACCCAGGTCAAACCACTATACCATGCTGGCTCTGGAGAGATGCTTCATTTACTTCCATGATTTTCCTTGCATCAGAGAATCGAGGAAGGATGGAGAAAGAGAGAGAAGAAAAAATAAATTCCCTTACCTAGAAGGCAGAGGATAGAAAGAGAAAACTTCATAGTTCACATGAGCCGTCTGTTTTTCAGCAGTATCTCCTGAAATCTGTCATCTCCTCTGGCATGGACCCACTTTGTAACTGGCAAATACCTGTCACAAGGTGGAGTGTGTGCGCCAAGCATGATTGTGGTCACAGTTCAACAACAACAAAAAGTTACAAACCACTTCCTTTCTTGTCTTGTGCATGCAAAGCAATAACTTCTATCCTTTTTAGATTATTTTGTTGGAAATATGTTTTTCTTCTGTCATCCTCTCTGGTAGAAAATTTGGAAGCGTTCATTAATTCGCACACACTTTTAAATATTTTCTCATACACACACACACACTTGTTGGGTGCTTTCAAGTCGTTTCCAACTTATGGCAACCCTATTCTGAGGTTTTCTTGGCAAGATTTGTTTGGAGGAGGTTGCCATTGCCTTTCCCTGAGGCTGTGAGTATGTGACTTGCCCAAGGTCATCCAGTGGGTTTCATGGCCAAGCTGGGAATTGAACCCCAATCTTTAGAGTCATAGTCCAACACTCAAACCACTGTGGCACACATTCTATATATATATAATTATTTATTTATATTTATTTATTTATTATTTATTTATTTTTACAGATGAAAAACTGAGGCCCAAAGAAGACTGGCTTGCCCCAGGCTCTCCAGAATCACAGAGCTGGACAGATGCTGGGAACATTACTCTTTGGAGACTACAGCTCCCAGTGGTCATACTGACTAGACAATTTGGGGAGTTGTAGCCTTTCAACTAATTTTTTTTCTTTAAAAGGACATTTTCTAACTCCTGGAGCTAGAAGGGGTTTTGAGGATCATCTAGTCCATCCCATGTTCAGTGAACCTACTACAATCCAGGATACAACTACTGTACAGCAATGGAAAGACAGCTTCAGCTTGAAGATTTTTAATGAGCAGCAGACAAGGATCACAATGTGGAGTGGGCTTGTCCTTCTGTATATCTTTGTCCTACTTTTTCTCCCACTCTTTTCCATTTGTCCCACTCTCTTCAAGTGATAATATGGGTGCAAATAAGTTCTCCTCCCTTTTCTTCTTCCAGAGGTGATGAAAACCTAGAGATAAGTCTCTTTCACACTGCACTGTTATAGCATTTTGATACCTCTTTTAACAGGCATGGCTGCATCCAGTGAAATCTTGGGATGTCTTGTTAAGCAAGGCACAAGAGCTCCCTGGTAGTGAATTCTAAATACCACCCCAAACTACATATCCCAAGAATCCATAGCATAGAACTATGAGAGTTGAAGAGGTGTATGTAGGTGTATAAATATTAGGTTTTTTAAAATAAATAGGTGGGGAGGAAAAAGGGGAGGAAAAAGGGAATGTGGCAGCAGAGGAATGAAAGTGGATGGGATGACAGAGGCCATAGTCTTTTGAAGCACTTGGTTTCCCTCTAGTGGGTGTCTTTGAATATAACAATTTATAATGGGCATACTGTACATTCTCCAGGGCTGCATCTACACTGCAGAATTAATGCAGTTTGACATT